CTCTGGTTTAATGAGGCAAGTAGAGTCTCTCTCTCTCTCTCTCTCTCTCTAACACACACACACACACACACACACACACACACACACAGAATCATGAAACCAACCAACCAACCCCAAAATACAATCACAAGAGGTTCATTACAGAAACACATTTTCTGGGGGAAACTTGATGGGGATGAGGGAACATTCATACCATATGGGAAGTAATTTAAATAGTGTTCTAGGTACAGTGTGCTAAATGGACAAATTTGGGAAAGGCAGGGTTTAATTAGAGGATCCTATGGTGCAAATTAGGGCAACATGCTGGCTTCTTCCCCATCTGGGTTGAGAGAGAATTTCAGGCTAAAGGCACAAATGTTACTATGATGCCCAAAATGTTCACTCCTGTTCTCACCATCTTTATTTCCCCATAGGTTTGCTGGGAAGGTTAGAACATTAAGGTGTAGCATTGCTTTAGATGCATTCTGGAGAATTACAGATGGTGGTGGTCCCTAGTAGAAAGCCTGGTGAATTTTTCACCCCTCAGATCCAGATTGATACCAGCTTTGCCTCTGTCCTGTCATAGTTGGTGGTAATGGAATAAATATAATCTGGAGATGTAGACCTAGCCTTGCCTTCTTGCCAGAGAATATAGAAAAGGCACATTTTCTCTACCGACCACCATGGTCTGAAGAATTCATGTTCTTTTCTAGAGGTGAGCAAATATTTTATTACTAGGACAACCAATCAGATGACTGGAAAAATGGATTGCAAATGCTTCTTTATGTCTTTATTTCTCCCTCATTTTCCTATCTGGAAGCAGGGTATAAATGCTAATGATGTAACTATAACATGATATGAATAAATCCAAAGTCAGAGTTGTCCATGGAAGGTAGGGGGCAAACAATGAAAACAGCATTGCTGTTGGAAGCTCCAGCCCTTTTGCATGTGTCCTCTCTCTCTCTCTCTCCTCTGCATATAAAATAAATAGTTGCCAATCACATTGGAAATTCTGACTTGCATTTATTTATTGTAAGACACTTGTACCTCTTCTAAATAAAGATGTACGTCAGCAAACAAAGCCCTTTTCAAACAGCACTCTGAACTTTTCTTGCCATCCCAAGGAAAGAATGAATAAATGCATGATTTTAGAATTTAAAAAAAAACAAAAATGCCTTTGTTTCATGGGATATATGGGATATATGTGACCACATATATCCCATAAATTTGTGCATGCAAATTTATAATGCCGTTTTCCTAATACACCCATGGCTTTTATGCCTTGCTCTAATGGTATGCTTCCCCCCCCCCCCAACAAAATTCTCCCTGACAATTTGCATCTTTCAAAACTGGCAAATGTGAATCTAGAAGTATGATTCCTTACACACAAATAATAGATGTGCAAAGTAGCTAAATTTGTTTTTAATGCAAGGAACATGCTGGAAATCACATCTTCCTCCTTGCAAACTCTTCAGATGAGTACAAGTGAGCAGTAGGTACTGTTTAGTGAAGAAGTTCCACTTTGCTCTTACTCAGAGGCACTCGACTGCTTAAGAAGCTTCAGGTGTTGATGTCTCTTTCAGCTGCTGTTTCACCATTGGTGATAAGGCAACAGCATTGCTTGGATCCAGCTGTGTAATGTTTTCACGGAGAAACATGCTATCTTCCAAAATATCCTTGCATCATTTCAGCTGTTTTTTATGTTTTGAAATTAACCTCTGTCCATATGTACTTCCTCTTTTTTGAAGGGGAGTCACTTGCAATTCTTTCCCTCCCCCCCTCTCCCTAGCTGGCGGACCATTTATATAATGGGCTTCTTTGAGCAGAAGGACAGAGGAAGACTCCCAAAGTGGAGTTTGAGAACCCATCTCTTCTTCAAGATCACATTCAGGTGAGTCTAAAAGTAGAGAAGGCCATCTTCTCTGAAGAAGATCTGATATTCTTATGGGAGATTTTGATTCTCATTGAAATGCATTAGGCTTCTCTGTACTTAGAAATCTTAACTTTTTTAAAAAGTTGGAATGCATTCTAAGAGACCTCCTTCATAATCGCATCGATAGTCCATGACTAGTGACAAAGGAAATATTTTAACCTCTTTGTTTCTTCTATTTTCTTTTCCACTTCTACAAACATCTTGGAGACACATTGACCAAGAAGTCTGAATGATGTTTATTCCATTTTAATGCAGAACAAAGAAAACTCAAAGGCAGGATAAGAGCTGGGAAAATTTCTGATGGCTGCAAGCACAGATAATATTTGCAGGGAGGGCCATCATGGATGCAGTGATGTGGCTATGTGGATCAGAGATTTTGGAGGGCTTTTTTTGGATTGGTTTATTGTGCTATATTTATTTTAGTGCATACTGTATCATTTTTATGTCCTTGCTACCTCAGAAAGAATGGAAAGCACAAGTCTTTTGCCCATGGCCTTTCTTCACTTTCCCCTAACCATGACACAAATATGCACTGTCAACACCTTTTTTCTACTCTGTGTAATGGGCTGTGAAAAAAACCCATTGAGGAACAGGAGGAAGAGCCGCAGCCAAGACAACATTCAGATAATTTTGAGTCCAAGGCAGGAATGTAATTTGAGAAAGCATCTCAGATTTGATCCTCCCTGGTTCTCTTTAGGAAAAAGACAGGGAGGGGGGAGGCACATTCAGATTTGCAAGATTCTGTTACTGTAACCCTATAATAAAAATAGTTTTAGTATTCATAACTTTGGTGTCTAAGTCTGGTCTACTTTGAAGGACAGATACTATGTTCCTCCTGATCTTTCCTTCATCTCCTTCCAAGCTCATGAGTGAGAAAGCCAGTTTCTGTCAGCCTTGTATGGTAGTCTAGACAAGAAGCATGCCCAGGAGTACTAACTCTTGTCTTTATTGTAGGGTTACATTAACAGAATTTTGCAAGTCTGACAGTATATCTCTCCCCTGTCACCTTTACAATCCAAGAAACTAGGGAGGGCTCCTTCTGAGAAGTTTGCCTTGCTCCATTCCCTCTGCGGGCTCAGCTGCCTCTTATCTGACCATTGCCTAGTCTGCAGCTCTTCCTTCTGCCTCCCAAGGTCATTCCCACATACCATTACAATTTTACACTGGTAGAGGCTTCTGCCGATCCAAGGATGTGCGAAGCCCTTCCATTCAGCAGCAAGGGAAGTCAGCTCTGAAATTAATGTAGTTCCTGTCTGAATATGCTAGTCTGGCAATGTTTCAGTGGCTTCTTTCCATTAGAAGGAGTACAATCTCCTTAGAAGTTCCCTGGGGCAGATTCTGAAACAAAGTCGCTCCCTGCCTAACATTCTCCAGGGGGTCTTGCAAGGATTTAAATATGTATTTCCCTAAGCATTATCTCTGAAATATACCACAATATGTTTGAAAAATATTTCAAATTCCAACTATTACTTGTCAGTCTGAGATGCCTTCTAGAGGTCAAATGCTTTCCATATTGGCAAAGATAGAAAAGTACATTTCAGTGCTAGATATTTCATGGAGATCAATGACTGTTGTTCAGTGGAGGTATTCATCTTCTCACTTTCTTGTGGCAGAGCTGATGATGCTGTTCAAGAGATTTGGCCTTGGGCTCTTCATAGTCCTGGCTGCTGTCATGATGCTGGGCACCTTTGCTGCTGATTATGAAACCTTCTTGAGGCAGCACTATGATAACCCCAAAAGCAATGTTGGGAATCGTTACTGTAATACAATGATGGTAAGACGAGGTATGACCAGACCTAAGTGTAAGGAGGTGAACACCTTCATCCATGACACCAAGAATGAAATCAATGCTGTGTGTGGGAATAAAGGAGAACCTTTTGGGAACGGATTGCGGCGTAGTCTGAAGCAGTTCCAGGTCACCACCTGCACGATGAAAGGAACCTCCACTCGCCCTCCTTGTGATTACAGGGGAAACAGTTCACCCAGATACATTGTCATTGCTTGTGAGAATGGATTGCCTGTGCACTTTGACGAAGGTCAGATTTACCGGTATTTGATGATGATATGAGTTGATCAGATTTGTGTCATCCTCAAGATGGCTGCTCTTCCATGGGAAAAATCTCATTTTCTGTTGATCCTGCGGCTCTTTTCCTGCAGTCTTATTCATGATTTGTGCACCATTGCTACTACTGTAACCTACCTAGATATTTGCCCTGCTTTCATTTTGTCTTTTCACCTTTCAGCCAGCACAAAACCAAAACTCTGAATATCCTAAATGTTATGTAATCCAGCAATAATTCCTCTACCAAATGCTTTTAAATGAATGAGTAAAAAAACCCAAAAAGTTGCATTACATTTCTGTTCTTTGTGTGGCATCATTTTGTTTTAAATGCTTTTGCTTTTTTCAAAGAAGGGAAGATCAGAGTCATCTTGCATTAACCTGACCAAAGTTTCTACTCCTGTTAAATTGTTCTTGCTTCATTCCCTTTTAACACATCAGGGTTCTGTTTGTGATGGCCACCATATTTTATTCTTTTTCTTTTAAAAATGAATGGCTCTCCTGAAACAACACAGCATCCTGATGTACCTCTAGGTTGTTTACTTGGAATGGATGCAAAACCAAGCATCAGAAGAAGAAAGTGTGTTGCAATTAACATGCTTTAGCTGTATTCACACAAATTCTGCTGAACCAGTGCCAGGCAATCCTAGATCTAGTGGCTATCTTAGAAGGGCACTCAGATGTCACAAAGGCTGATATCACTGAAAACAGAACTGGGGGAGGTTTACCCATCTCTACCCCTTTTTTCCTTTATCACCTCTGTGATGTAGCTGCGGGTGAAGGGGGTAGAACTAAAGAAACAGGAGTTTGAACCATTTTCTAGTTTGCTTGGCTCCAGCTTGGCTTTTCAGGAACCATCCTCACACATGGGAACTGTGTTTGCACAACAGGTTCACCTGTTTCCTAAACCATGCTAAATTAAATTAACCCTGTTGCTACCCCAGCTGTGCTCATACAATGCACTGGCCACACACTAGCAGTCTACAGAGGATGCTGAGCAGTCTATAGCACAAAACATAACTTCATAGTACAATTATAAAATCATCTTTCATTAACCATTACTATTATTCTGTCTTGGGAGAGTTCATTTTCAGATTGATAAAGGGAATCATACTTTTCAAAATAGGGAAGAAATGCATATTGTTCCAACTTTACAAAAGCTTCCTTTCCCCTTTCCAACTGTCTCCATTGTAAGACTATACGGAGGCAATCAAAGGTTTTGTTGCTATAACAAGAGAGAGAGAGAAATGACTCCTTTGAAAGTGAAGCACCTGCTCACGCTATAACTGACTCTCCTTCTAATAATGATTGTTAGTTGGAGCTCTTGGAGGTGTGTTTCGTGGACTGTTTCCTCTGTAGACTGGTTTGAGGGACATCTGACATTCTTATTAGACATCCCCTGAGCGAGAATGACCAAAGGCATGAAGACCTCTCTCAAAGTTCTGTTTTCACCACCTTTCTAAATACTGGAAGAGGTAAGCCATCTGGATTTCTGGAGAAAGGCAGTTCCAGAGAGTAGGGGCCATGTCTAAAAAGCATTGACTTCTGCCCCTCCTCCAAATCTCTTAGGGGAACCCTTGTGGGACATGCAATCTGGGTAGGTAAGTTCTATTGAAAGCAGATGGTCCTTTGAAACAGCATCTCTAGGGGCATCAACCTCTAAAAAATGGCAAACATGACGTTGCTATCCAAACTCTGCCCTTCTTGTAGTGTGTGCACACATACAAAAAGGATGGAGCTGAAACCGTGGCATTGTGCTCACCATCTTGCAGATTTTGATACCCCTCCCTCTCAGTCCTGCATGTACCTGGGTGCCAAG